AAAGAGAAACTAAGAAGGCAGAGGGGAAGGGAGGGGGGAAGGACTGCTCTGATATTGACATCTGTCATTGGCCAGTGACAACAATCTGTCCCTGAGGTCCCTTCCAGCCCCAGTGCTTTAGGGGAGGGACAGAGAAGCACCATAAAAGGCTGTTTGTGAACTGCTGTCTGACATTTTGCAGCTGCGTCTGTGCCTATGTAGCAGCAGCAGAGAGCAGCATCTGTAACTCTGCAGCTTGGTAGTGCCTTCCTACCAAGTTGTAGCCAATCCTTTCCTACTTACCTTTGCATGCTCTCCCTGTTGTTATCTCTTGCAACTTTCTTTCCCTCAAATCCTGCTATTTGTTCTTATTTACCCACCCCAAACGAAAAGCAGTGCTTTGACTGGCAGTGTCTCATCACTGTGCACTGCAGGAAAGCATTACACATACATTACACACACATGCACACATTTTTTCCAGCACACGAAGTATGAAGCATGTGGGAAAGGCAAGTGGCTAGGTCTTCTGGCAGGGGAACAGGAAAGGACAGAGGGAGAGCTATAAGTTCCCCCTCCTCCAAACTCATATGTACCCTCTTTCCTAACACTAGCAGGCATGAAGCTTCTAGTGCTAGTGGCAGCAAGGAGGTGGGACCAGTGCCTGCATCTGCACCCCTTCCAGTAACACCAGCCATAACAATAACCCCCAGGACCACCAGCATGACAAGCAGCACAGCATGACAGTCTCCTGCACCTCCATTTCAGTTCCCTGCCTGAACCCGAGAGGAGGAGCTGGATCTGGAAGCAGGGGACCCGAGTGCCCTAGCAAAAGCAATTGTGGGGACCAAGGAGAAATCTGACTTTGTGCTCTACTCCTCTCCAAGTTCCCCTATGGCTGCGTCTCCTTCCCTGGAAGGCAGTTTGGACGAGGTTGACATTAAGGTTGTGGAGGCAAGTGGCTCAGCTGAATCAGCTCCTCCTGTTGTTGTGTCTCTGCCTGCTGAGACGGGGGATCAGGCAGAATCCGCACCTGCACCCCAGAAGCGAGGGGATAGTGTGCTGTGGGATCATTTTGAGGTAGCAGATGATCCCACATATGCTATCTGCCTGCACTGCTGATGTAAGACCAGGTGGGGTAAGGAGGTGAAACACTTAAGCACCACGGGGATGCTAATGCATCTCAAGAGGCACCACCCCCTTGCCCTTGCTCCTCCTCAGCCTGGCACCAGTGGGAGCATGCCCAAAGGGAAGTCCCCCTCTGGCTCCAAAGCCCCCATCCCCAAGAAGGCAGGCCACCCTGGAACAGTGGGGCAAAGGTGGATAGAAAAGGGGGCATGTTGCAAAGGCAAGCGAGATCACCCAGAGCATCAGAGAGATGCTTGTTTTGGATGGCCAGTCCTTCTCCCTAGTTGAGTGGCCAGGGTTCAGGCAACTCATGGAGCTCACAACCCTGGCAGGGTGCAGCTTTAGGTCATTCCCAGGACCTGGGAACTCCTCCTCCCCTATAGCTCCAGACCTCCAAGTTCGTCCTGGCACGGGAGCTCAGCAGGGAGATGTTCTTCCCCTGTTGGCTGGTGATGCTGTGAGTGCTGCCTCCAGCTCTGAGAACGGGGCATTAAATGGTTTTTTAAAAATTTTTAAAAGGAAATGGGTGCAGACAGAGTGAGGAGGGTGGTGCTCACTCCATCCACACACGGAGCTTGGGGAAGCCCAGCAGTGGGAGGTTCACTTTTAGGAATACCAGCTGCTCCACCAAACCAGGATCCACAGAGGTGTGGTGGGGTGTCACAACACCCCCAGAGGCTAGCATGCAATGCAGGCAAGAAAGCCAGGCACATCGCCAGCAACACCCCGTTCCATCAAGGAAGAGCACACACAGCAACTGCAAACGCTTCCTCAGCTTGATGAAGCGTTTTAAACCCAAAAGCCCATGCCTCGCAGATGGCACCCCAGGCAGCTAAGCTCACCTAGAGCATCACAACTCCGCTGCAACCAGCAAGCCATAAGTCTCTCAAAGATCTTACATGTCTGGACTTTCTCTAGCCAGGACTGTGCATGCGTGTGGTGACTGGAAGTTATACGGCACCTCCCACCTGTCTTTCACCAGGTAGGTCCTCAGTACTAGCATTTCTTGGGGGCTTCCGTGCCACCAGCAGTAACCCAATAAGATTTATTCCAGTTCATGATATTGCGTCAGAATTGCTTGAACAAGTGCATGCATCTCTACTTGGATTCCACAGTGTCACTGGTTGCATCACCA